CGGGTTCTGCTCCCCCCCCCGGCTTCTGCCCCCCCTTCCCGGGCAGGGCCTGGGGCGGGCGGGCGGTGGCGCCCCTCCCCGTGTCGCCAGAGGCGCCTGTGCCTCTTCTTGTCCTGGAGCCCAATAAAGGTTGCTGCGTCTCTGGCTTGGCTCTCCTTGGTGCGTTTGTTGCGGCCCAGGCGGGTGGGGGTGCCCTCCCTGACCTCGCCGCAGGGCCCCCCTCACTGCAGCAGCACAAGGAACACTGGCCACGAGCAGCAGCAGTGCCAGTATTGAGGTGCTGCTAGAGCTGGGCTGGCAGAGCGGGTGGGGGGGTGGCCCCAAGGGGAGTCCTCCCTCGCCGCCGTGTTCCTGGGGGGGGGGGCGTGGGAGCCTCTGCCTGGCTGCGGGTCGAAGGCATCCTGGCCGCTCGCATTAGCACCACAAAATGGGTTGTGGATTCCTGATTGCCAACAAACCATGTTGTGCTGCTGCTGCGTACGCCAGCATCAGTGGCTTGGAGAGGTTTTTGTGTGGGGGGGGGCAGCTTGACCCTTGCAGCAAGAAGCAGCCTCCCACCTGCCCTTCTGACCCCCTTCCTTGCATTTGTTTTCCCAATCGAGAGATTTCCCAGCAGTCCTCAGGGGGGAGAAGAGGGGCTGCCTCTTACGCAATTTTTCCCAGAATCTGTCACCTAAGGTGGGGAGACCCTTGCTTCCCTTCCACTGGCCCTGAGCTCGAGGGATATGGGACGGAGGGGGGTCACGAGGGCAGGCGGGGGTGGGGGTGGACACCAGGACCAGTCGGCCAACAGTGGGGATGCCCAAGCGGGCCAGAAGCATCCCCCCTTCCCCAGAGGAGTGAGGCGGCCCACTTTCTGCTGAACAGAAAATGGAGAGGAGTGACAACGCCCAAGCTGGCTGGACTGACACCCTCCTCCCCCCCCAGCACAGCACAGCGTTGGGTCCTCCTTCCCCGGCAAGCCTGCAGTTGCGCAGTCCAGGGAGCAGACTGCGGCCTGGTGCCCCCTCGCCCAGGGCTTTGCCCCCAAACACAGAGGGTGACGAAGCGTCCCACATTTTGCAGAAGCGGTCAAGTCAGCAGCCAAGACCTGTTCACCCACCCACCCACCCACCCACCAGACGTCTGGTCCAGGAGAGGACAGCTCGGCTGCTCCTGATGGGTGGGGCTCGCCTGCCTGCACAATTGCCACGTACGTGGCGGAAGGGGACCACTTTGCCTCCCTCCCCACCCGCCCACCCGCCAGAGGCATGCTCTGTTCTGCCAGTGCAAGCGCAGGCCCCCCCCAGGTGAGATTTGCAGCCATGGGCCCCCCTCGGATGTAAACAGAAGCGGCTGGTTCTCTGCTGTGGGGCCTGTCCCAGGGGAGGAGCCCCCCACTGGGATCAGGGAAGGAAGAGCAGCAGGACCTTTTCTGGTCTGGGACCACTTGGGGGGGGAGAAAAACAGTGGGGGGGCAGCTAGCCCACAGTCTGCTGTCACATTATTTGGGAGGAAGCTTTTGGACACACCTGGAGTTTTTGGTTAAATGAGGGCAGGTATCATTCAGCCCCCAAAACAGGAGGGGCCGATCGGACTCTTCTAGGCCATGGCAAAAATCTGGGCCTCCTCTGCTATCTTGCATTTTACCCTCCGAAGTCGCCCCTCAGCCCCCCCCCCCATGTCCCTGGCCTCTTGGATGGGGGTGCAGGAAACGCAGGGGAACACTTCTGCCATTGGGTGGGGGAACCCTGCTGCCCCCCGCCTTGAACTGGGGGCGACTGCATCAGTTGCCGCAAGGTTTGGGGGGACCTTGGAGGGGCTGACAGGCTTAGAAGGAAGATCTGGAAACGGGGTGGGGTGGGGTGGGGCGGAGGGGGCACTGATTTTCTAGGTGGTAGAACAAAGGGCACCCCCAAATCAAGAGATTAGTTCTGAGGAGGGAGACCAGTTTAGGCCAAATCTTTGGGACAAACCCTATAAACTGGGTGGGCTGAGGAGGGGCCCTAACGGTCAGTTTATTTTTATTTTTGAGCACCGCACTCGATAGCGGGGAGAAAGGCTGAAGTCTCCATTGTTCTGGGGCCTGACCCCCCCCCTGATCCTCTAGCAGCCCCCATTTCAAACCTGGGGGCTCTTTGGCAGGGTGGGAGCTCCCTCGACCCCCTCATTCGGCAGCCCCCATGCCTCCCTGCCCCACCTACCCCCTGGAAACGTGTACCTCTCTTGCACGGAGGGGCTTCTTCTTGGAGCGGGGCCAGGTGGCTGGGGGACACGCCTTCCCTGGGGTTGTGGGGTGGCAAGGGGAACTCGGGCGGGGGGCCGCCAGCTTCCCTCCCCAAAATCCAGCCTGGCTTTCTTTTGGCCCCCTTTTCACTCTGGGTGAGATTAGGCTGTTTTTGTAAGGCTGCTTCCACCCACGTCTTTTCCACCCCGGTTGACTCCCTCTGGTACGTAGGGGGAACATTATGGCAATTTGGGGGCTCCTGCAAGGGGCCGTGCCCCCCATTTTCTACCTAGGGCCTGCTAGCCCTTCCCGTACAGTCAGAGTGCCATTTTGGGCACCGAGCGGAGAGCCCTGCCTGCCTCTGGCCTAGCACCCACTTCGGAGCCGAAGCCATGCCACCCCCAACCCTGTACACCTCCCCCCCCCAGCTTACCTGCTCTGCAGACCCTTGCCCCCTCCAGATGATCAGGGATCGTGTTTTCCAGAAGTCTTAAGTTTAGCTCTTTAAAAAGCATTTTGCAGCCACGGCAAGCCAAGAGTGGGCTGAGCCCTTTTGCCACCCGATCTTGGCGTTCGGCTCTCTCTGGATCCACGGGCGGCCGGTCCCCCACCCCAAAAAAGGGAGCCTTTGTCCCTCTTCCTGCTCCAACTAGGGAAGTTGGGGAGCTCCTTCCAGTTCGCCCCAAATATTTGCCACCGTTTTCCTGGGATTCCAGAATTGTAAAAAAATAAGGAAAACCAGAGGGTGCCCCCGCTTCCCCCCCCCCAGAGCCGCCAGCCCCTTCCGTGCTACGATTGGGGAAGGCAACGAGAAAGGGAGAAAGGAAAAAAAACAGGGCATCTGAGAAAAGCCTGGTCCTTTTTCCCCCTACGCAACTTTCTACACTTGAATAAACCCCTTTGGGGTGGTGGAAAAAATCTGCAAAAAATTCGGAGGGGAGGCCAGGCCCCCCCCTGGGCGTGTGTGAAATTTGGAGCGGATCCAGAGAGCCGTTACCCAGCAAAAAAAATAGCTTTTGAACGGCTCTCTCTCCCGCCAGCTTTAACGTCCCCAGCTGACTTTGTCGCGGTGCCAACTTGTGCGACTGGCTTGGCAGCCCCCCAGCGTTTCAAACAGTCACTTTGTCTCTGTGAGCAGCAGCGCCCAGAAGCCCCGGCCGGTGCAGGGCTCACCCGTGGCCCTGGACCCCCACGGCCCCCACCCCCAGTCCCCGTCTGGGGAGGGCGCTGGATGGCTCTTTTCTTAACACACAAGGCCGCGGTGGTGTTGAAACATGTGGGGTGTGAGTGTGTTTGTGTGCCTGAGCGCGCTCCCGTGTGCTAGCTCCCCTCACGAATCTGCTGGTGTGAAATCAGAGCCTGGTTTACCAGCTGCCCTGCAGCAGCAACAGCAGCAGCTCCAGCTCCCGGTGCCTGACCTGTCCGGCCACACAAACTGCTGGGACAGGCCTCCCCATGGAAGGGAGCCCCCCCCACTGATCCCCTCCCCACACAAGGAGCCCCATTCCTGACCCTCCCCCCATTTCTCACCCTGGCCTGGCCTTCTCCCAGCAGCAGGCAGAAGTCAGAGGGTAGCAACCCTGCCTTGACCCCAGGGCCCCGTGCGAGCCCCAATTTGCAATGGCAGCCACGGAGGGACCTTCCACGTGGGGGCAGGCAGAGGCCCACGGGAAAGAGGGTCCCACCACCTTTCCTTTTCCCTCAGACTCATAGGTTCAGGGGCTCTGCGGAAAGGATGGAGGGGGGGAGAGAAGAGCAGCAAAGCCCAATATTGTGGTGGGGACAAAAGGGGGAGCTGAGCCCGAGTTGCTGGGTGACCCCTATCTGCACAACTCACAGGAAACCCCCCACCTCCCTCACCCCCAAGGCAGGGTTCTGGAAGTGCCTGTCCGGGGCCTCCCCTGCCGCTCCTCCTCCCCTGCAGCCCAGCCCCTGGACCCCCCCTCCCCCCACCATGGGTGTACAGAGAAGGGATCTGGTGCTTGTCCTTCACGTATGTTTAATGCAGAGATGCCAAAGGGGGGGGGGACTTTGGCTTTCCCAAGAGACATGTACAAAACACATATCAAAGAAAAATAATCCTACAAATTGCCTCCCCCCCCCCAACTGCAACTCTCTTAAAGGGCTCCTCAATGAGCCCTTTTCCTCTGGACCCTCCCAAGAAAGGAAGGGGGCCCGGGGGGGGGGGCTCCACCAGGACAGGGACTTTCCAGGGACTTCCTCCTTCCCCGCAGGAGGCCCTCCCCGTGACCTGCCTCTGGCACAGACTGGCAGAGGGGGCGGTGCTTCCCCCCCCCCGCCAGGCCAGATCTGGCCCCCGGCCCCCACTTGGGCGGCAGTGGTGGGTGAGCACTGCCCAACCGAGTTTTTGAAGCAGGAAGCCCACTCACTGCCCTCCGGCCAAGGGCGGGGGGGGCGCTTGGGGACGCCCGCTACAAGGAGCTTCCTGGGAGTCCCGGACTCCCGTCCCCGTAAGGAGCAGCCACCGAGGGGAGAGCGAGCGAGGCACCCCGCTGCCCCCCCCCCGGGCAGGAAGCTTGGCTCGTGTTTTGGCAGAACCCCGGACCCCCCCCCCTCCCCTATGTCGCTCAACTCTTCCAGCTCCGCGCTGGCGCCCGTCCTTTCTCCCGGGTCTCTCCCCTGCCCCTTTTTGCGGGAGGCTGCGGGTGTTTATGGACGGGGAGCACGCTAAGCCCCCCCCCGGCCCCCAACCTTGGTCGGTCCAGCTTTGCAGACGCCAAGACCTCGGGGTCCCCGGAGAACGGGGCAGAGAGCGAGAGAAGGGGTACACCTGCCCCACTCATCCTCCCCACGGAGGGTTCCGGGCGGGGCTCCTGCCTTGAGGCCGGCTGAGGGCACAGGACCAGCTCCAGCTCCGATCCAGCATCCCCGGGAGCGCAAGAGGGCTTCGGCGCAGCCAGGCCGTCCCGGGGGGGCAGAGGGCCCTGCAGCTCCTCCGGAGGAGACGGAAGGGGAGTTGCTCCCCCTTTCGGCTCCGGAGAAAAAGAGACGCCGTCGGAGCCCCGAGGACTTTGCGCTTCATCTGCGGCCGCTTCGTGCGCCCCCTCCCCCTCCCCCCAGCCCGGGCTTAGAGCAGAATTCCTAGCAAGCCCGGGGGGGGGGAGAGAGCCGGTCACCCGCCTCCCCAGCCCTCCCCCGGTCGCGCAAGGAACCGCACGTGGCGAAGGATGCGCCGGCCCCTCCCCCCCTCCCTCCCCCCCCCAGAAAGGAGCACGCCGCCGCCCCAGGCCGGGTAGCGCCCCCCCCGCGGAACGTGGGAGGCCTCTGGAGAGCCCCGGGCCCCGCAGCCCACGTTCCGCCGCGGGAGGAGGGGGAGGAGCGCCCCCTATCGCTCTCCGCCCGTGGCCCCGAGCCTCGGCGGCAGGGTCTCCTCTGCGGTCCGCCCGCCCCGCCCCTCCCCTGCCCTCCCCTCCGCCCAGCCAGGCAGAGACCAGCGCTCGGGATCCAGAACTTTATTGGGGTCAAACACAGGGGAGAGCTCCGCGCGCGGCGGCCAGGCATGCGGGAGGCGGCCGGGTCCCGAGGCCCGGAGTCCGGGGGAGGGAGGCCTGCGGTTAGCCCCGGGCGGGAGGGCGTCTGGGATCGGCGGGTGGGGGGTCGACTGGAAGAAGGCAGAAGGGAGGAGGTCGCCTGTGGCAGCATCTGCTGCAGCTCCGCTTCTATATACAGTTCAAATATAGATATAATTATTATTATATATATATATATAGCTATATATTTACCACATTTCCTCTTTACATAAATACTGTATACAAATCCCTGCTGAGTGGGCAGGCTCAGGGCACAGGGTGGGGAGGGCTTGTGGGCCGGTGGGAGGGGCGACCGGACTGGGGGTGGCCTTCCCCAAGGAGCAGTAGGTCAACTTGATGCTGGGGGGTGGGTGGGTGGGATTGGCGCTGGCGCTGGACTCCTCCGGGAGCTTCTGGACCAAGAGGCAAACCGGCTNAGGGGTTAAGGGAAGGCCATCCAGTGAGGGGGGGTCTCTGCAGGGGGCAGGCTGGGGGGGGGAAGTGTCAGAGCACCTGTTTTCTCTGGGGGAGGGCTGGTTCTTGGCAATGGGGCGACCTGGGAGGGGGGCTCCTGGCTTGACTGTCCTTGTGATCCTGGGAAGGAGCCCTGAAAGGGCACTGGGGGGGGGTCCCTGCTCCGAGTGCCGGGGGCAGGATGGACTTCTCCAGCCGGGACAGCCTGTCTTGGCAAAGGAGGGGCTGCCAGGGGAGGCTCTGGAGAGAGGCACTAGGGAGGGAGGGGCATTTCACTTTTGGGAGAGGAGATGGGGAGGGGGGCAGGTTGGGCCTGGGAGCTAAGAGACTCCGCCCTTGTTTTGCAAAGCACTTTGGGGAGCAGTGGAGCCCCAGAGAATTGGGGGGGAAGGGCTCAGGAAGGGGCAGAGGGCACTAGGAGAATTCAGCCTCCTGAATCCCCCTCCTCTTTTTGCTCTCTGCCAGCAGCCCCCTTCCTGACCAGGAGCAACACAGGAGGCCTGGGGCGGTTTCCTCCCTCCCCCACCCAGCTGGGAAAGGGCTTTGCCGGTCGTTTCCCAGCCAGGAGGGAGCAATTGGAGCCAGGAGGGAGCAATTGGCGGACGCAGTTGCCAGTTCAGCAGAGGCCCGGCCCGAAGCGTCTGGGGCCGTCTTGCCATGGGCCCCATAACCGTGAAGCTCGGGGTTGGGAGGGCTGAAGGGCACCCGGTTCGCTCGCCAGAGGGTCCGGGAGATGCCCTCAAAAACGCCCTGGCAACTGAGGCCGCTCCCTGCTGGGACCGATGCAGCTGGCAGGGGGCAGCCTCTCCCTTCCTCTGCTCTGGAGCTGGGAATCCAGCCCCTCCCCCACGGCCCATCCGCCCGCTCCTTGTCCCAGCCAAGCAGCAGCGCAGGTATCCCCCCCCTTGGCCCCCTGGGGAGGGAGGGAGGGGATCCAGTACCTGCTGAAACCTTGCCACCCTCAGGAGCCGAAGGAACATAGCCAAGCGCGTGGGTGGGCTTGGGTGCTGATTCTGCACCCCCACTTTGTCCTCTCCATCCCACCTCCCTCGCTGCCCGATGTGCCCCCTCCAGGCCCCAGCCTGGCTCTGAGACGGAGGTGAAAGAACCATCCGGAGCAAGGAAGGCAGGCCCTCCCCGCTGCCCAGGAGCTGCCCCCTGCCTCCTGGGCCTGCTTGTCTGGGCCAGTCCTGGCTTGTAGATCCCCATGCCGGCCGCCTCCAGGAGCACTGGCTAAATCCGGAAAGCCAGATCTCCGGGGCATCGGACGTTGCAGGGAAAGCTCCGTAAAGGCAGACTGATCTTGCTCAGGGGGAGGGGGAGGGCTCTTCAGCTGTTCTGGGATCCAGGACCCCCTCCCTGCTCTCTCCGCAGCCCCCCCCCCCCAGGATTCCTGGCACAAGTGCCCTGCCCGGCATCCCCAGGAGCGCAAGAGGGCGCTTCGGCGCAGCCAGGCCGTCCCAGCCCTGTTTCCAGCCCCCCCCATTATTGCACCCCTCCCTCCACCACCCCAGGGCTCACCTGTCACGTTCAGCAGTTTGGGGAGGAAGTGGTTCCAGAAAGCGCAGATCTGGGTACGCAGGCTGCGGTGGGTGGCCAGCGGCTGGGTGTTGAGCCGGACGTACTGCTGCTGGGAGGCGGTGTAGGTGGGCCAGGCACCGTCCTCCTCGGCGGGGTCAGTGGGGCTCCTGTGTCGAGACAGAAAGGGGACCTGCTGTTTCAGACAGGCCTCCCGGCTACCCCGGCCTCCTGCAACCTGTGGGCAGTGGGAACACACACACACACCCCGTTCATGCTTTGCCTTTCCTACTTTCCCACCTCCCGGCCTGTCCCTTCTCCCCAGGCAAGTTGCTGCCGAGGGTCTCTCATTTCCAAATGCACCCAGAGACACTTCCCCAGCCTGCCCCCATTTCTGTCTCCAATTTAGGACCAGATGTCCGATATAAGGTCTCCTGCCTGAGCAGGGGGTTGGACTAGAAGACCTCCAAGGTCCCTTCCAATGCTGTTATTCTGTATTCATGCAGATCTGTGGGGACAAGCCTTCCAGTGAGGTCTCATTTTAAAAGCATATTTTAAAAGTCCCTTTTTCTGGTCTGGCTGCTAAAGTTAGCCTGGCAATGGAGTGAACTGGCACCCGATCTGACATCATTTAAGTTTGAAGCCTAAAGATCTGCACAAAAGTTTTCTTGCCGCGAACGTTCATTTTACTGTTACAAACAGCTGTTTCCTGCATTCCTGGTCCTGCTTCCCTCCACGTCCTCGCAGTTTCTGTCTCCTCCCCCTTCCTTGACCAGTGGCACACTCTGCAGTGCCAGGGCCCGCTGGCCGCTTCCCCCGCCCATCCCAGTTACCCTGTCCGGGCGAAGTTGACCCAGTAGCGCATCATCCTGCGGCTCAGCTCCTTCTCCTGGGCCGTGTAGTTCAGGCTGTCGTTGAGGGGCAGTCCAAAGACAAACTCAATCTCGTAGCCGTGGGGGACCCCCATCCACAGAGGCCAGATGAGGTTGGAGGCCCGGTGGTCAAACAGATAGGCGTACACCTTGTTGCCACGCTCTGCATAGCGAGTGGCAAAGTGCACGACTGGGCAGATGATGTTGTGGTCCCCAACGATGTCATCCATGGCCTCCCGGTTCTTCTCCCGGTTGTCCTCATCCTGCCAGTCGGTGTACTGCAGCACGACGGCCTCGGTGGCGATGTCGTTGGCGTGTGGCACGCCCATCCGCACCCCCTCCAGGAAGTCCTCCCGGCTGATGAGGCTGTCATTGTCCTTGCTGAAGCCGGGCACCCCGTAGATCAGGAAGTAGGAGCCCTCGTCCTTCACCACCCCTAGCAGCACCTGGGTCTCCTTGAAGTTGCCCGTGCCAAGCATGGCCTCGGGGGTGTCTGGAAAGAAGTCCCCGTCAATGACCGGCACAAAGGGGAAGCGGAAGGTGCTCTTGTAGGGCAGGACGGACCACTCCTCGTCAATCAGCTGCTGGGGAGTTTTAGAGCGCAAGCAACTGACCAGCTCGGAGTCGTTGGTGAAGTGGCAGCCCACTTGCTTCCCCAGGAGGGTCGCACGGCGCCGACTCTCTGCGGGAGTGACGGTGGCCCATGGCGCATTGGGTGCCCCGCTCTGCAGAATGGCCCGCTGGAAGAGGGCACGGCTCTGGGAGGAAAGCAGGTGCATGCCCACTGAGGCGGCCCCGGCACTCTCCCCAAAAATGGTGACCGCTTTGGGATTGCCCCCGAAGTGCTGGATGTTGTTCTGGATCCACTGCAAGGCCAAGCGCTGGTCCAGCAGCCCCATGTTTCCTGGTGCCTCCTGACTCCCCAGGAGACCCAGGAAGCCGAAGGCCCCCACGCGGTAGCTGAGGGAGACCAGGATGACGTTCTGTGTGTAGGTCAGAAAGCGGCCATCGTAGACGTCCAGGGATGCAGAGCCGCTGTAGAAGCCCCCTCCGTAGATCCAGACCAGGACGGAGACGTTCTTCGGGCGTGGGGAGGGCACCCAGATGTTGAGGTAAAGGCAGTCTTCGCTCATTTCCCGGTTGGGGTTCCACATCTCCGTGCCGGCGAATCCCGGGTAGCTGTTGTCCACCATCTGGTAGCAGGCGTGCTGGTAGGAAGTGGCGTCGAGGACGTGCTGCCAGGGCTTGACGGGCTCAGGGCGCAGGAAGCGCAGGCGACCCACGGGGGGCTCCGCAAAGGGGATGCCCAGGAAGGCCGAGACGTGGCCGTTGAGAACCGGCGTCCGCAGTCCACGCACCCAGCCCGTCTGGGTGGCCACTTTGAGCTCATCTGTCTGGCCGGGCAAGACCGCTAGGGAGGAAGGGATGCAAAGGAGGAGCAGGAGGGGCTGGAGCCACCACGGCTGTGGCGCAGGCATCTGGCCAGACCGGCAGGAGGGCATCTGTGGGGGAGGGGGCAGAGTGAGAAAAGCACCTCCCCAGCCTGGCCCTCTGTGCCACCCGATAAAGAACCCTCCGTCGCCTATCAGCTGGGCCCAAGCCGGCAGCTCAGTTCACCCAGGCAGATAGCAGCGGCTGTGGGAGGAGCCAGGAGCGGCCGCCCCCCCCGCCTCCCCCGAAGAGGATCTGACTGTTAAGGGGGAGGCCCTGACCCAGGCTGCTGAGAGCATCGCACGGCTGCTTTACCAAAACGAAAACTAAAGGTTCCCCCCCCGCAGGGTGCTCACTGGTGGGCCTGGTTCATGGGCCCCTGCCCACCCATCCCCAGCCTTTCGTGTGTGTGTGGGGGGGGGGGCGCTTAATGTTTTTTTTCTTCTTTTTGTCCTTGAGCAGGGAGGGGTGATAAGCCAGCCCACTTTATTCAGCCTTACCAATCTCCTGCATTGATAAACCATTTATTATTCGTATGTTGAAGTCTTGTTATCCAGCACGTAGGAAAAGGGGCCTTTTTTTTCTATTGGTTGGGAGCTGAATCGCTTTGTTTAGCAGAAACGGCACCGACTTTCAGGAGGAGCCCCTGCCACCTGCTCAGGGATGCCTGGGCACTGAGGGGGTGCCTGGGCGGAGCCTGGCGCTTCGTACGTGTCACCGTGCCTACGGGAGATGTATGGGGGATGCGGCTCTCAGTGCCTGGTTTGTAGTGTTGTGCGTTCCCACAATTGGCTCCTGGCAAGGAAGGCTATTCAGAATTGCATGGAAGGGGCTCCCCTCCACGACGGAGGGGGCCCATTTGGACACTTGCTTCCGAGTAACCCATTTCTTGGCAAGGGAACGTTTTCCTTCCCCCCTCCCCGGTGAGGCTCCTTGGGCCCACGTGCCAGGGGAAAGGACCCGAGCTTTCCGGGGGCAACGGAGGGGGGGGCGTGTCTTGTGCTAAAATAGACCAGGTATTCACTACCTGTATCTAAGCACACCTGTGTCTTTCTATCCTCAGAAAGCCTTTCATCTGGTCCGTCTCCAACCGGGTTAACTGTGCTCCTTGGTGGCTCTTGGGGCACAGACCCCCAACTGACTGGATTGGAGGCCCCCATTTGGGTCAAAGGATGCTCCCTCCCCCCTTGTGTCCCATGAGCCTCTGCTTCCCTGGCAGGGCAGGGCAAGGCTCTGCTGCCTCCCTGGCCCCCTTCTCTTTTGCCAGCAGGCTGCACAGGGCGTGGCTTGGACCCTGCCCCCATGGGGGGGGGCTTTGGGGTGCTGCCAGGCCTTGGTTGTGGCAATGGAGGGGCTCACCTTTCATCTGCTCAGCCTTTTGGGTCGGTGGACTGGCTGGGCAGGCTCTGCCCCCTCAGAGGGGCATGTGTGAGCAGTCTGCTTTAATCCAAGGTTGCTTCAGAAGGGCATCCCTGCACACACACACACACCCCCAACCCTTCACCCTGGGCTCAGGCCGCCCCCTCCCAGAAGAGGTCTTGGTTTCTCATGGATTTTGGGAGGGAGAGAAGGAAGGAGGGAAGGAAGGAAGGAAGGAAGGAAGGAAGGAGGGAGGGAGGGAGGGAGGGAGGGAGGGAGGGAAGAAAAGGAAGGAAGGAAGGAAGGTAAGAAGGAAGTTATTTCTTGGATCCCACGAGAATAAAGCAGGGTTTCTGCAGTCCTTCTGGAGTCAAGCCTACCGTGAATGGCTGAGAGTCTGTCCGTAGTTTGGAGACGGGCGGCTGCTGCTGCAGGGGGTCCCCTCTGCGTGTTCCTCCACAGGCCTCTCCCTGGAGGTCCTCTGTAGCCAGACTGCTGGAAAACGGGCATTTAAACCGATTGGCGTCTCACCGAGGAGGGCATCCCAAAGGGCGCTTGCAAAGACTCCTCCACACCAGTTGA